GCTTGGAGGAAAGGAAGCCAGTGTCTGCTTATATTGTTCTCTCAGGTAAGGAGAAGAAGTATTTTACTTTTATTTCTTCAACGCTGAAGTATAGTTATAAATCAAAAGTGGAAGTACAACTAGGCAGATGTAATTTGCAGTTAATTTCTAATTTAAAAGAGACAATTCAAGTCTTATTAGTTTATTTCTTTTTGTTAGCCTCAAGGGGAACATCATCTTAGGTAAATTATTATTTCTTTTGACATTCAGGTAACCACATCATTCCTCCCACCTATTAGCAGAAAATAAAAGGAAAGGAAATCTTCAGTAGGAAAGATGAATTTTAATACCCGATTACTTGAAATCACTGCCAAGGACCAGTTTTCTTTGTTAGAAAATATAAGTGAACTTCTGAATAAAATAATAATAATAATAATAGTACTTATTATATTCCTGGCACTGTTGTAAGCAATTAGCATATACTAACTCAGCCCACTCAAGGTCCCTCTGAATGGGGTACTATTTATATCTCTATTGCACAGACACTGAGAAGTTGAGCAATCTACCAAACTCCATTCACAAAACTGCTAGGCAAAACTGCAACAAGTAACTCGACTATTTGCAAACGTCTATTTGATGGCACTTTTCTCCTTTGTATCAACAACGCTCCTAACAGTTGAGGTCAACTTTCAGTAGACAGTTGTGACGCTGAGAACTAAAATTTACCCTTAAAAATTATGACAAGATTGCCATAGGCCACCATAATTTTGCTAATTATTTAAATTTACTGAGAATGCATGCGTAGATTAACATAAATCTGAACCTTGAAAGGAGAATCTGTCAGTATTAACAAATAAGTGCTACACACCTACAAATCAGACATTATTCTGTCATGTAACACTTAAATTTGGCTTAAATATATATAGCTTTGCAGATCAATTCTCCATGTATAAAGATCTGTGTTGCATTAATTTGTGTGGGAGGTTGATGAGAACGAGGATTGGAGGCAGGGGTAAATAAAAACTCACAATGCTAGCCAAGTTATAGTTTCAGAAAAGAAGTGTCTTTTTGCCAGTTCTGCCACCCGGATGGGGCACATTTTTGCAATGTACAGCTTGGGGTGGGGGCGAGGGGGGGAAGAGGCATCTTTTTGCAATTCATACAACAATACCATACTTGTAGAAGCTACCTAGCAAAATTTGACTTAAACTGAAATTTCTGATGTCAGTTGAATTTATTAAATTAAAAAAAATGGGAAATGCAATTACATTATTCATGATGATAAAGTCTAATAAAATTTAATTACAGAAAGTATCCCAATTTCTATATAAATCTGCAAAAAGAGTGGAAATGTGTATAACAATGAACGGAACCACCAGAGAAATGTCTCCCCAAATGCTTCACTTTGGGATCAAACTCAAGTTTTACAGGTATCGTTAACCTAAATGACTCAGAATGTGGTTTAGCCAGCAGGGATTATGGGTAGGAGATACAGGTGGGAAAGATTACTATAGCTACGAATTGTTTCTACTATCACTAGGAAGTTGAAGCTACTAGAAATTTGGATTAGATTTCCAGTGGCCTGGGAGGAGCTTGGGGATTGAGGACTGACATCAAGGTATGTGTAAACAGTGTGTATTTAAATAAACAAATCTTTCTGTGGCGTTTGTGAAACTTGGGTTTGAATTAGAGTTAACTTTCCTTGAAACCCTCTGTAATGAACCATCACCTTAAGGCTCTCAAAAACCTCCTACCTGTGTATACAGTGGCACAGGTGAAGTAAACTTGATGGTTGGTAGTCCTGGGTTTATGGGTATTGGCTCCAGAGAACTCTGGATTTGCATAAGTGTGTAGCATTGGAGCAAGCAAGTCAACAGAAGAAAAATATTTTCAAATGTACAGGGAACACTTGGAAACATCTTCATAACTATAGATATTCAAAGGACAAATATAATAAAAGGTTTTAAAGAGATGAGGTGATCAAATAACAAAGTTTCAAAGAGAATATGTAAGAATGGTTACATGAGTTGAAAATTATCGATAAATCTTCCAAGGTCTTGCTTGATTCCAAGGAGAAAAATTTCAATAGTAACCAAGTTAATCACACTGGGATATCTAAACAAGTTATCTGACACACAGGATGCAACAAGTTGGTTCAAGAACAGAATATTAGAGATGATTAAAAAAAAATAAAAACTATTGAGACGGATTTCTGCACTGTATGGTGGATGCTTTATTCTTAATGAATCCCAAAGATGACAATGATGGATTCTTATTTGGAAGAATAGATGATAAGACATACAGAATTTTAAAATAATTATTCTTTTGATGAATTAGGCAGTGGTATGAATAGGAAAGAAACCCTAAAGTGAAAATAGGACTAATTTTTAGACAAATTCTTATATTTTTCGAAGACCGGAAGTATTCCAAAGACAAACATGAGATTTAATATATCTAACTTAGAAAAAAAAGAAAATGGAGTTTGAATTAAATAAAAATATTCCAGCTTTAAGAAACTAAGAATGAATGGGAAGTTAGAATATATGATGATGTAAAAATGCAATGCCTAAAGATTTTATTTGAATAATAGAGAATATAGTCTTTTGAATAAATAGATGTGAATAATTATGTTGCTGAGGTGACTGAAGTTTATCTGGAAAGGTGAATCTTGGATGCCACCTACCTAAATATGATACACACGCCTGAATGCAGGGAAGATAGGACCCTGGGAAATAAGACAAGATTAAAGAAGGAGGTTAAGGACTAGTTTTAGAGATATAATATGAAGAAATAAAATTTTAAAGTACGGCACTCATCTAAGATAAAAAATAATGAGATGAGAATAAAATGAGGAGTTACTGACTTGGGGGAACTGGGAAATTAATGTAGGAGATCAGGAAAACCACTGTGATGTCTATCACCATTAAAGTCACCATGTGAAAGGAAGAATATATATCCTGAAGGACAAGATCACTGCATGGACATACTCCAAATCATAAATTCAATTTAAACCCTCCCCTAAGCTATCATTAAAATAACTTGTTGGATGTTACAAGAAATTTTTATACCCTTTCTTCAATAACTTTAAGAAATACCTTTTAAAGCTAAAGATTTTTAAAAGCATTTAAACATATGATCAGACAATATAAAGTACACTATTTTACTTAAATCTATTTCAAACTGACCTATTCATCCACATATCACATATTCCAAGTTGATGAAATTTTTGAGAAGGAACTAAAAAGAACACTGCAATGTTACATAATGTGACCGACCTTAAAATCAAGGTCATAAAAATTATTCATTTAAAATAGTTTTTAATAAAGCTACATACCTTGCTAAGTTTATATAAATTTAGATAAATTTACATAAATCATAATGCTAGACCAAGTAGTTATTTTACATATTTTCTCCATCTTCACAGTAGGCAAATAAACTGCATCATTAAAATCATATTTTTTTCATCTTTTGTTTAAACTCTTATTCTATGGTTGCTGTGATCATTAGATGCAAGATACTTCCAATAATAAATCCTATTAATGAGAATAGTTTTCTAGGAACATACTGAAAATTTCCTATGTATGAGATTATTTAAAGAAAAAAGAAAATCTGTCAGTGTGAAAGAAAATGAATTCCTAAACATTGGAAGCATTTGTAAGCAATTTGTTGTCTATGATTTGGAAAGTATGTCAAAAAAGTTGAGTATTCATATTTAAATAAATTTTCACAAACTAACCATTAAAAAAAAACTTTACAAGAGAAGAATACTTGAGAGAAATTATTGAAAACAAACTAAAAATGAAACAAAGTACAAGAAGGTAACTGTTTTATTTTAATGTATTTTCTTCATATGTGGAGAAATATTTGCACTCACTCTTCTTACTTAAGCAAAAGTGATATAGACAAGTTAGCATCGACACTAGATTATAGTTACTACATCACTGCCACAAATAACGTACGAAAGCCAATCAAGATTATACGTAATATGGATAAGTGGGTGAATCCCTATATCAAAGTTGTAATTGTTAAATTATTTGGTTTCTAAGTAGCATTCAGTATAACAAAAAGCTGACAGAAACAAGTTTAAAACAAACAAATAATTCTAGTTTGGAGGTAAGGAAAAAAAACGATGTTGATCATAAAAGTAACAACTGAATATATACATTAAAAAACTCTCTCTTAGGACACTGGGATTAGCATATGCTCATACAAACACCACCCCCCACCTCCAGATAAAACTGTATTCTAAAGATTTCTGAGCACTGACTGTAGTGTACTCCAGCTTTCCACAAATATTGTATCAACTCATTTTTATAGCAGCCAATTTAATTCTAATCACACACACACACATGCTGGTAGGTGCTAGAGGAAGGGAGGAGAGAGAGAGAATAAAAAAATCAACCACAAACAAAATAGTACATTAGGAAATTTCATTTGCAAGATCTAAATGATGCCCCTAGAAGCATTTTAACTAGCAGTACATACACACCAAAAAAATCATTTATATGTTTTCTTCTCCTGTATCTTTAAATATCCAATATTGTCTGGACAAGTCTTTTTGATATTAAGATTAGATGTGGTTTTTCCCCCAATACACAGGTTGCCTGAAGTATGTACTAGACAGTATAATTTTGCTTCCACAAAGACTGTGAAATTGCTCTGTACCTGGGACAATGTGGAACTCTACGATGCTCAGCGGACTATACAGCCACATAATTGCCCACTTCCACTGCTTTCAATGAGGCCTGACAGCTCACCGGTTTATAGCGGTGGCAGATGACTAAAGAAAAAAGTTGCTCGTTTTTACACTTCTCTTTAGAAAAGATTTCCTGAAAATTCAGGATTGAAAAAGAAAGACTTATGAATAATGAGACTCACTGCTACACTCAACTAGGTTTTATACTCCTGCAAAATTCCTATCACATGGAACAAGGTCCAGAAGTTAAAAATAAAGCAATGCATTTAAGAACTTCTTGAAGTAATCACAAAAAGAATAAGTAGGAACAATCATTTCTAATTACCTCTGTTGAGTGACGCTGAACTGTTTATATCTCCAGTAATGAAGGAAGACTCTGACTGCTTTCGGACCGTGTCATTCCACATTCTACGAATTCGGCTCTGGATGGGGAAAAGGAAAAAAGGAAATGAACTCACCATGCGGTGAATTTTCACACAAATTACTCTTTTTTGTTTCTGTTATAGTTAGAGGAGACCTAGATGTCTGGCATCTGGCAAATATACAACTTCTACATGCTTGTAATAGAGTAGCATGAGAATATCAGAAACTAAATTAATGATGATAACTGGTTCTCATTGAGAGTATTCTTAAATGCTTATACCAGAAATAATTACAGCTCTTTAAAAGGAATAAATGTAATGTACTATCCTTCTTTAAATATGCTTAAGATACATAAAAATGTGTTCTAGACAGAATTTAATAATTGTAATTTCTAAAGTAAAACTAATTATTTTCATTGTAACTTTTATGGGAATGGGATATTTATGCATTAAATTGTCATTTTTATTAACAAAAGATTTAGCTTAAGAAATCGGAATCTTGCGAGAAGTAGTTTGGTAAGAAAAGAACACGGATTACTACCCAAATGCTACTAAACTCAACATTTTCAATAAATTTTGTAAGAAGACCAATGTAATTTTACAGGTTACATAGTATCTTGACTTTTCTTTCTTTTGAAGGCGATAAAGGAAATCGATTCATCTTTATTCATTTCTTCACAGTAGGAAGTTTTATACAGAACTGAACATTCTTACATCATTATATATATTCTCAAATTCAATTTTCTAAGTGTTGGATAATTCAAGAAAGCAGTGTAATATTTTTCCATTTTGGGGGGCTTTTTTTCTGGCTTATTGTTTTGCTGTTTTATTGAGTATTAACAATCTTGTGACCAAGAAACAAAATATTTTTAGAAGCTTTTCCAAAGATAAAAAAGTTATAACAACTATTACTAGTAGCAATGGGGAAATCAAGCTCACAAATGGGTTATAGTCCAAATATATTTGAACTCTTTGAATAACAGGAGTATCTAACCTTAAAATATTAGACAACTACTTTTATAAATTTTGGGACAAGTTTATCCTTCAGAAATATTGTCTACATTGTTACATAGGTCAGCAAACACATACATAAACAGCAAAACTAATGAAAGTATAATAAGAAAACCAGAGCAGGATTTAGACCTTGAGCACTAGAAAAATGTTTCTACTGAAAAACATTCCAAAACTTCAAACTGAAATACTGGAGACAAATCTCTTGTATTTGTTGTATTAGTTAGTTAATTAACAATATTAATTCCTTTCTACCACATGCCGAATACTAATCTAGGAAATACAGAGGGGAAAGGCAAACACAAACCACCTTTACTTTCTTGGAACTGCTAGACCAGTAAGTGACAGATTAATCAAATATTAAGCAACAGAAATAACGCAGAAGTCCATGTACCCACAAATCTCCACAGAAGCATTACTTATTGTCACTGAAAACTGTGAAGAACCCAAATAACTATTAATGGCTGAAGAGATGAATAAATTATCAAGTAATATACAGCAATGAAAATTAAAAAGCAATATAGATGTCCGAGGAAAGAAGGAGAACATAAAAGGATATGTACTGAATAATGTCTTTTGAGTAAGTACCAAATACATGCAAAACAAGAACTGCTGTTCAAAGTTAAGACAGTGGTTATGTTTTGAGGTGGATGATTGAGAACAGGTCAAAGGGTTTCTGAGGTACTCCCAATATTCTAATATTCGACCTGGGGAAGGGTGATAAATCACAGTGCCATACACTTATATTTTGTGTGCTTTTGTTAATGTTTATTATACTACATAATTTTGGAGACATCTTAAGTGCACATTATAAAGGAATATGTCCTTGTCTAGAAAATCTGCAAACACTGCACTGAAGCAGTGACATCTCAACTGAGAGTTGATGGAATTATGATCGTTGTTAGGTGACATTTATTTGAACTGCCTCTATTATCTTCTATTGTTATCATCTGTTAGTCTCTCCTACCTGGGCTAGCCACACCTGTTTCCATGCTGTTCCTTAACATGCCAACATGCTTCTGCCTTAGGCTTTGCACAATTGTTTCTTCTGTCTGGGGTGCTCCTTTCCCAGATACTGGTATGAATAACTCCTTCATCTCTTTTAATTTTTACTCAAATATTTTCTCCTTAAGGAGACCTCACTAGATCACCCTATTTAGAACTGTACTCCATCCACCCAACTTTACAATTTCTGACCCTAGAATCATTACTATCTTCTATGATACTCTGTATTATTATAATGTACTTAATTCTTGTATTTATATTTAACGTCCAATTTTTTTGATGGAGGTACTGGGGATTGAACCCAGGACTTTGTGCATTCTAAACTTGCGCTCTACCACTGAGCTATACACCCCTCACTAATGTCTAATACTTAATGTCCAATGTCTGCATTAGGGTGAGGTCTAGAAGAACAGAAATTTTGTATTTTTTTGTTCATTGATGTATCACACACCTGAAATAATGCCTAGTACATGGTAATTATTATATATGAGTATATATAAAAATATATTAAATATATTATATTCAAATATTTCTATTAATTCTATGTTCTATGCTATATATTTTTCATGTATTCACTCATTGAAACCTCCTAAGAATTCCTTGAGGTAGGTATTCTTTTATTCATCAGAAAACTGAGGTTTAGAGGTTAAGATGTTGAATATCACAGATTCAAGTACGTGCATAAACAATATCTGAATCCAGTCATCTGGCTCCTAATCTAGAAGATTAACAAGTACCCGCAATATATCAAATAATAGTTGAGTAGGAAGAGGAGAAAAGGATAAAATATTACAGGCAGAGGAAAAGTACATAGTATGTGTGACACAGAGCCAGCACTTAAATGTTCATGGGATGAACCAGACGAGCCTTAGAATGTGGGCGTGAGTAAAAGCAAGTCACAGAAGAGCATTTACAGTAAGATATCATTTTAAAGAAAGATTTTTTAAAAGGCAGAGTAAGCAACATCTTTTTTGAAGAAGAATAAACTATTCAAATAAGTCAAGGAAATGAAGAACAAAGTTAGTAGAGTGTCTCTGGTAGGGAAGCACAGGGATGAGTTAGGGAGAGGTTCCAGGAAGAGAAAAACAAATGGAAAACATTCTATTTCCTAAGGTAGATGATGAGTTCACAGGTGTTGATTTTATTACAATGCTTCACAATTTAATATGTGTTACATATTTTATGTTTTGAATATCATATAATAAAAGTAAATACATCTACAAAGTCAGTAAAACAAATGAAAGGTAAATGACAGAACAGTTAATGAAAGGTCAAAGTGGAAAGGACAATACTTCAGTCCATAGTTTTTATAAATACACACACACACCAATCCTGTACATATCTCTGTGAATATACATTTGTGTGGTTAGGGGTATTATCAACCTTTTATAAGTGGTTAGCACCAGGAAGTAGGTATGGGAACCAACAGTGGAGAGGATTTTTACTTTTTAGTCTTGCCAATCACACCCCTCCATTACCTACATACTAGCCATGTGATCTTTATTACATGAGTGATTTCCTGTCACTTCCTTTGCTAAATGGACACATTGGCTTTCTACGATAATCAAAATAAATTCTAAACTTCCATACCCATACAAATACCTAATATCTTTGACTTCATCTCCCATTTACTCTCTCACTGCTTTAGCCAATGACATTCTTCCTATTTCTGAATTTGCAAGTTCTGCCCACTTAAGGGCTTTATATAAGATGTTCTCTCACCTGGAGTTCTCCTTCCCTGAACTTCCTTCCTGTCATCTCCCCAAATAGTCTTTGTCCAGCACTTAATCCAAGTAACCACCTGGATGTTCTGTATCCCATTATCATATTTGGTTCTCTACCAGCTCTCATAATCTGATATTCTCTGTTGGTTTATTTGTTTGCTAATACATTTTCTGCCTTTTACAACTAGAATGTAAGCTCCAGATCATACGGGAAGTTATTTGTCTTTTAACATTTTATCTCCAGAGCTTAGAAGACTGCTTGGCATTATATAAGAGAAACTATTTCTTAATAAAAAATTTCAGGATTGTTATTTTAGAAGTTCTCTGATGTGAAAAAGGCATCTATACTCCCAGAATTTTACCTTAATATCAGTGAGTATTCTAGACTTTGTTCATGGAAGTTCACAGCTAATATGAAATATTTATTATTTTTCCTAAACAGACTGAATTTAAGTAACAGTCACTTTATATAGGTTGGATTGTCATAGTTAATCAGAATTAGTATTATAATGAGCATAAAGAAACAATGTAAGTTTTTTTCCCCAACATTAGAATTATGGTGTTATAACTATAAAAGTGAAAAAATGATACAGCTTTAAAATATATACCTGAAATTTTTTCTGCAATAATGACACTAGTAAGTGGTAGCTGCTCCAATTTGTTGAGCATTTACAATTTGTTTTGTTTTGTATACATTAGTTCAGTCTTCCTAATAACATAAGAAATCAGTATTACTACCACCACTTTACATATGAAAAAACCGAGGGAGAGTGAGGTTTAATAACTTGTGTCACAGCTGGTATATGGCAAGGCTAGAATTCAATCCAAGGTCTATCTACCCATTAAATTTATGATTATTTTATTAAGCTGCACTGACCTATCTTGTAGTTTAGAAGTAAAGCTAAACATTGCAAAACTCTGTTCTAACATAATAAATGAAACTCCAAAATATTATTGTTCATCAAGGGCATATGTCAATAAAATGACTACAGGATGATGGTTGATAAGCTCAGTTTTATGAAAAGCATGCAGAAACTAATCAAGTTAAATGACATATAGAATCTCGGAAGTTTCAGTTTAAAAGTTGTGGAAAAGACTGTTACAAAAAAGAGAGATAAGAAGAGAGATAAGAATCATCAGGTTGAAAATTAAGGAGTGGATTATTGGGAACTCATGCTGGAAGCATCATTCAGGTGCGCCCCATACCTTATGTGAGACGTCAGATTCCGAACTGGCAAATTTAGTAGTCTGAAATTCAGAAATCTCAGTGCACCTAAGCTGGTACACTCCTTCCCCCAATTTGCAACTGTGCAACCTCAGTAAGGTATAGAAATACTAAAACAAATACAAATTATTAGTGATTGTAAATTATGTGTAGGAATAAGTTTCATGATC